TGGGGGGGGGGGGGGTTGGACTTATTCATTCAAAGTCAGCATTCACCACGATTAACATCATTTAGAGAATTATCGAAAACATGGGAATAGTGGATGTTTTGTCATTATGTGTGACTCCTCGGCAGTGCTCAAGTGAAGCACATGCTATTTAGTCGGAGTACAATAGTTCACAGTTTCTTATTTCTGTCAATCGATGAGTATTTTTTTCTCATATCTAACTTGTTTAACCCTAGAACTTTGAGAAATTCATCTCCAAGTATGTCACTAGACAGTATTTCAGTAAGAAGGTTTGTAGGGATCTATGAATTTTCAAGGTAGAATTCTACAAGTAATCATTTTAGGAAAGGGATTCATATGAGCATAACAATCATCATCAGCTATTATCAGTCAATAAAATATGCAAAATGCAGCATTTACGGATAGCTACTTAGCTCTATTACACGCTTTCGAGTAGTATACATCTGTTTGTGACCTCATTCAGAATGACATCAGTCACAGAACTGCTGAAAACCTGGAAGCATTAGACAGCTATTTCACCAAGATTTTAAAAGTGATTGACTTGTAACCGCCTAACTCGTTTCACAAATTTCAATTACAAATAAATTTGTGAATACTTTACTTGGCCTATTGGCAGTATCAGTATTCAAACTAACTGCCTTCAAACTATGTACCATCGTTTTTTACAAACCGAACTATGAAATCCATATGATAGCTAGATCTGAATTTTACTTCTATCGTGATGAGTTTTGCTTACTTGTTATGTAAATGAGTAGTAGATTATTTATACTGGTGAAATGAAAATTTGAACCGCAGCAGGATTCGAACCAGCGACCACCAGGTTTCCGGCCCAATGGTCTACCAACTGACTTATGAGGTCTAACTGTTGAACAGATTTTTATTTGACCTTCAATTATCACCCAGTATCAATATTAGTCTTTCAAACTACGGTTATCTCAGATAGTCAAAATGATAGTAGATTATCGTCGATTTGGTCTGACCACTTCAAAAAGCTCTTGAATCGACCGCCACCTGCACTTCCTCCAGAAATACCACCTGCATCCCAGTCACAGAACTACAAGTGAACAGAAGCCCTCCGATCAAAGTCTAAGTCCTGAACGCCATAATGCGGGAAAGCAGCAGGACTAGATGGCCAGAGGCCCTGAGAACAGACGCAGAGACAACAGTGGACAAGCTCACACCACTATTGCAGAAGGTGTGGAAGGAAGAGAAGATACCTGTCTGTTGACTGGAAGAAGGGCTACCTTGCCAAACTCTCAAAGAAGGGCGACCTAAGTCTTTGCAAGAACTGGCGAGGAGTTATGCTGCTATCCATCCCCAAAAAAAATATTAAGCCACCTCATCCTGGAGAGACTAAAGGATGCGCTGAATTCAAAATTACCACCGGAACAGGCTTCAGGAAGTACAAATCATGTGTGGAAGAAATTGCAGCGCTATGCTACGCATTACCATAGAACATAATGGCAGTCAACTCTCTACCTCGACTTCAGCTTCATCGACGTTGAAAAGGTCTTCGACAGCGTCGGCCGACAAGAAATTGGTCAGGCAGCTGCTTCTACACTCCGGAGTGCCACAAATCTTTATCAACCTCATTCAATAGCTATATGAAGACGACATATGCTAAGTGATCCACAATGGAAAGCTCAGTGACGCCTTCGAAGTGAAGAGAAGACAGGAGTAAAACAAGACTACCTAATATCCCAGATGGTCTTCTTGATTACGATGGACTGGATCATCAAGCAAACCATGAAGAGCGGGAAGATGGGCATACACTGGCTGGACCGGGGAAAAGATCCTAGAAGATTTGAATTTCACCGATGACTTATGTCTAATGTCACACAAACTTGAAGATCTACAGATGAAAACTAACACGTTGACAGAAGAGGCAAGGCAGTGGAAACGGGACTTCAAGTGAATGTATAGAAGACAGAGGTAGAGGTGGTGAAGATACCCAACCAACGCCACCACCACCAACAACAACAACAAGCTCCAATCACCATGAACGGGAGAAATCTAAAGGAAGTAGTCTCTTCCACCTACCTGGGCTGCATCGTTTCAACTACAGGCGGCACAGATGAGGACGTCAAAGCAGCCAGGATTGGAAAGACATCAAGACAGGCGTTCATCAACCTGAAACCAGTGTGGAGATCTACTGCACTACACTCCACTGCACTCAGCATAAAGCGTGAACAACATCCAGATTTTCAACACTAATTCAGTCAAGTCAATGCTGCTATATGGTTCGGAGACTTGGCATATCATGGAAAGCATTTCCAACAAACTGCAGACATTCACCAACAACTGCCACCTTGCTCACTCAATACTAACACTGAAGATCAGATGGCGAGAATAATAAGAATAAGCAACAAGGAACTCTGGCCTGTCAATGGACGAACCAAGAACCTACTGCCCAACAAATATGTAGAGTAAAGTGGATATGGATTGAGGATACACTGAGAAAACCATTCAGGTACATCACGCGTGAGTCACTCGAGCGGAAGCCAGATGGGAAACGGCAAGTTGAGTGTCCGAGGTGATGGTGACATGGAGGAGATGATGTGAGGAAGAAATGAAAGTTTGTGGGTGGTTTTGGATCCAGGTTCGAAAGATTTTAGAGAAGAGAGTGTAATGGAGAGGTGCTACTGAATCCGTATGTTCCACTAAGTACCCAAGCGACAAATATTTACATAATAAATAATATGAGAAGCGGTTAATACTCACTCCCGATGATTTATTTTCTTATCAAATCCACTGAAGAAGGTACTTCGTACCTTTCAAATATCATTCTTCAATACACGATATCCTTTAAATCTGTATACAATATCAAGAAAAGAATGAAAATCTGGATGGTGACAGTATTCGAACCAATAATCTGTGGTTTATCAGCCTGGCAAAACTCTTGGTAAGTGATGTGAAATAACTATCTTTTCAGTAGGTGGGTTTTTTCAGCTTAGTTGTTAGAGCACCAGAGGCCATTGATTCAAGCCTCGCTATAACTCAGATCTCTGCGTCACCTTCAGTCAGCACTCAGTATCTGTTCTCTTGTTATCATCAATCAAGTTGTCAACTGATATTCTAAACTCGAGCATGATAAGATATGCCTAGCGGTGAACAAGAAGAAACCTTAGTTAAGGGGGATCGAAAGTGGTGTCTATTCGAATCTAGAGTGATAGGAAAATTGAAGAATTTCATAACTTACCTTACCATCATGGACAGACATCAGTTGGAGAAACATTCAAAACTTGGGAGTTCTGAATGGCTGTTTCATGCTAGTATGAGATGCAGATCGCACTAAATCATGATTTGAAGGACCTAGGAAATATGAACTATTGGATTCCGACCCAGCAGCTCAATTGGAACGTGCTGGCCATGGAACCTGGAGGTCCTGGGTTCAATCCCAGACGCAGTCATAGGTGTACACTGCTGAGGAGTCCCTTTCTAGGACGAAACAGCTGTCCGCTTCTCCCAGGTTTCCAACGTTCCTCTAACAGATGTCAGTTCATGATGAATACCAACTTGAACCAAATATTCAGCGTCGGAAAAGGTTATTTTACTGAAGCTTGAACTCAGAAATGACATTGTTTCAGACATCTTCAAAAACGACCATTAAGACCCTTAAATAGAACACACTTCGCCGCTAACCTTCCAACAGCTTTTTCCACAAGAAAGTTTTTGACCAAAGTGTGAAAGACAAGCTGACAATGCATTGGGTCATATCAGTGTGTGTATACTGGATTAATTGCTCTTGTGGATCTGATTACATCGGCCCTACTATGCGTCCGCTTGTAAAATTTTCTCGTGAACACTACCCAGCCTGACTAGCAAAAGGAGAACGGAAATCCATCTTCAGCTTAATGATAGAACATCCTGTGAACTCAGGTTACTCAGCACCTTTTCAGAACTCTTTCAAATCCCTCCACAGGGTTCAATCAAGTTACTGAGTATAGATGAAACGTTAGCCATCCAGAAGTTCAAACCAGCACTGTGTTCAACATTTGTCTTTGCCATGGCCAACATAAGGCTTTGATTGTCGTAGATTCATCTAGTATTACTTAATTCTATTGGTTTATTTTAACAGTCCGTCGTTTGTTTTCCTATTCTAAACCTTCATTTATGTAGCGCAACTTTCTTTCGCTACTCAATAAGTTTTCATCCCTGACAGGGGGATGATTCCCGACTGATCTATCGGCCGCAACATATATATTCACGAATGGACAACTTAATAAATGACTTCTTCGAAAAGAAACATTTTCCTTCGTTACTATCGTCTTTTTTGTCTTTTCTTATGATCAAATGGGTGTATTCCAAAGCTCCACGTTTTCCCGCTTTTATCAGTTGGCGATACAGCGTGATCACGATTTCGTATCTGAAATTGGAGAAATTGATCCTGAAGATCTGGAGGGCAATTTAACTTAGAGGTTTATGGTGATTTGTAGGTTTTCCGGTGAGAAGTTTTCACCTGTGGAGCCAACGAAGTCAACCGTGAGGACAAATACTTGTGGAAGACATTGGATTATTGTCGTGCCATATTGCGAATTCACAGTAGTACGAAATTGAAGGAGGTTATATGCCATCACTACTGAGGAGTCCCATAATAAGACGCAACAAGTTTTCGATAATTCTCCAACGAAAAAACTCACCTCTGAAGGTTATTTATTGTTTAGTTTCTGTGTCAAAAAGTCACAAAATAATGACCCTATATACAAAAAATTTCTTCCCCTTCCATTTGCTAAATGTTGATTTTTCAATTGGTCAACTTTGGGATTGGTTACTGTCATGCAGTCAAATGACCAATCGGAAAATAGATGAATTTCCCGAAATTCTCCTCTCACTCCCATTATTCATTCTTTCTTTAGCATATCCCCTTTCATATTGAAGAAATTAAAAGTTATTTATACAGCCGAAAAAGGATTTTCTTGTGATTTCCATACATAACTATTTGTTCTAAGCGGAAATTGTATCATTCATTCATTCATTGTTCAATGGTTAAAACACGAACTAATCATAACAATAGCCAAGTAGTAAATAATATTACTGAGGATTCTATGGATGAATTCTGTGGTGATGATCCTGGGTAAGTTCAAGATTATCTTTCATATTAAATGTGTTAAAATAAACCAGCAATTATGCGTTAGATTTTGTTTATTTGATACACTATCACTTATTTCATGATGTGAAGAGGATAAATTATTGATCATAATCATATCAAAGTATTAACACAACCTTTGATGTACAACTTTTATTGTGAGATAATGGGGAATATTTGTAGCTGATGTGAATAATTTTGATGGTATTGCATTCTCTCAGCTGGATGGTTTAATCAGTTGATTACCTTGTATACGGTGATTTTCTGTTTATTGTATCAATCTGTACATTGTTCGATAAAGAATTGGAAGTGTTACGATAACAAAAGGTAGTTATTTCTTCCTTGAGAGGGATGTACAATCATGTTGCGTAACTCTTTTGCTCTATCCAACTGTAACAATGATGAAACTGTTTATTTGGTTGATTTAACATGACTATATGCATGAGAATGGACACTGGAAGGATAAGCTTTAGATTCTGTCCTTGATTATAGTTCAAGTCTTCGGTAAATAGGAAAGACCGTGAAGTAACAGATGTCTGCCGACTTTCCCCTTAGGATCTGAGCCAGTGACCACCAGATTTCCAGCTCGGTTTTCTAACAACTGAGTTACGAAGCCCGACTGCAGACCAAATTTGAATTTCACTTCAATCACTAAGCGTTTTACCCGACCGCCTTAGGAATTCATGACGCGTTACTATTCGTCCATCGTATTCCCACTGACTACTCCACCAGGACTTCTCATACGAAACCTAAGTCATCCAGAATCAGAATAGGGGGAGTTTCACACTCATTATCAGTTTACATACATTGACTGACCACAGGAGAAAAACCAATTTCATATTGTCTAGCCCTGAGTGCATATTGAATCCTAACGATCATATTTATAAGGTGGCCATCAAGCTAGCAGGCTCAGGATCGCGGTGCACATTGGTAGATGTTAGTTGCTTGAAGGTAATCTTGGCCAGAACAACTCAACAGTAACGTCGCTTACTACGACACTGCGTGACGCGGGTTCGAACCTTGGGAGGGACATCAGTTCCATGTAGGTCGCAGATACACCTTGCTGGCGAGCGCCGACAAACACGGAACGCAAGTCCAAGCCTTCCTGCCAGTTGCCCTCAACCAACTATCATGAGATAGCCATAGTTTGGTAGACTTGTATTACTGATACTGTCTGATGAATTGGTTATTAAAACCCTAACCTGATTAGAGATTTAAGGTAAGGCGTAATAGACAGATAACGTAAATTATCAACGATTCGGCAACCTTACTAAGAAGGAGTTATAAAAACCTAGTTGCTATGCAGAAAATGAGTTAAATAAAGCTATTGAATCATAATAATCGGTAAGAGGATTTCTTAATTCAGGCAATTCAGGGTCAACTATGAGTACAAGAATGCAAAACGTCAAATCTTCACCTTTTGACTGACTTAAGCCATATTGACGATGGATTATTTTTAAGAAACTTTTGATGAATATGTTGTTGTTATCAAGTTTGGCCGAGGCTTAAATAGTTAAAACACTTCTTGGGACACATATACTACTGAATAATCTGAGTAGTTAGAAATCTATCAGATTGATCTGTCGGATTTCGCCATCTAGATCAGAGTGATCAAATCACACAGACAAATTCAGTTCATGAAGCTGAGTTGTATAAATCACCTAAATCTGGCTAGTTGTCTCGCTTGAACCAGTATGCCTAAACCAGGATAGTCAATTTGCAAATAACTTCTATGCTATACGATCCACAGTGACATTCTTCATAGCTGAGTAGCTTTTCAAGTGCTCAACACTGTATCCGTTGGAAACTACCCTACACCCAATATCAAAAGGTATGATTTTCGACATAAAAGTGTCATAAATTAGCAAAACATACTGCTACTGAACAATCTGAGTACTTCAAAATCAGTTAGCAATCAGTAGTATTTCATCAACTAGATGAAACTGTTTCGTGACAATATATAATCACTTTTATTGAACTGTAATAGCTTTTTCACATTAACTTTTAGGTCTATGTCAAGGATGAAACAAAATACCATCGATTTAGATAAGCATTTTGTTGGAGATTGACAGACTTCATGATAAGTTTTATTATGAATTGATGTAGTCTAAAGATTGTCTACATATCACAGAGTACTGGATAAGTATTTCATCTAAACTTGAAATAATTTGGTGATTAAAACCAATAGCATGAGAAGAAAATGACCCCAAAACAATTGATAAGGAAGCTGAAGTGATATCTATTACTTCACTAGTTGGAAAACTAGCCAGTTTCTCATGATACAATGAAACTACCATCCAATATTGTTAGTGAGGATCTATCTTAGCTCTAAATTTACTAGCTGTGGTTCATTGAACTCCTACTCAGTGGCTGAAGGCCAACTGGAAGGTCATAGATCCGACCTCCGGTAGGGTAATGGATTCGCACTGCTGACGAGTCACATGCTAGGACGAAACAGCTGTCCATTACTGCCATACTTTCAATGGTTCTCCAGCTGATGACCCAAATGATGCATTATTATTGCTTGATCGTATTCACACTGGCTGTCGAGTCAGAATTTCTCATCCTGAGTTAAATCTACCTGAATTGATTATAAGTTTGAGTATATGAGATATTCTATCAGTTCACCTTCAATCACTATACAGCATCGATACAAGTCAGCCAACATATGACTATCTCAGATAGTCCAAATGACAATTAATCAATTGATAAAATGATTATTTTTGAAATTTGCCGTTAAATCGATAAAAATCGTCTTGATTCTACAAGTGTTCGACTGCAATAGTTGAGTTTAGTGTGAAATCATAGTTTCCATTTCTTAGCGTACACGTTATGACGTGTATCTGGTTAAAACTTCATCATTCATGATTAAAGTTGACACTAACGTAAAAAAAGTCATAGAACATTGGAGAAATTGAAACACTCAACGACAATCATATTTCTGTTATTATTATTTGTCCATCGGGTTCCTAGTGGAACATAGGGCTTCACTAGCACGTCATTTCACTCTCCTCTCCGCAGTATTTTCAACCTAGTTCCACAAATTATCACAAACTTTCATTTCTTCCTAACACCATCTCCTCAATGTCACACTCACCTCAGACACCCAACTAGTCGTTCCCCTATGGATTCCACTCAACGGCCTGACCTGGCACGCGATATCCCCAATCAGTCCTCTCAGTGTATCCTCAATACAATAAATCTCCACTTCATTCTGCATATTTGTTGGGTGACAGCTTCTCAGTTGGTTGGTTCGTTGACAAGCCACACTGAGTTCCTGGTTGCTTATTCTTACTATTCTAACTATCTGATCTGATCCGATCTGATCTTCAGTGTCAGTGTCAGTGTCGGTATCAGTGTCAGTATCGAGTGAGCGTAGACGGCAGCTGTTCATGTGTGTGTGTGTCTGTAGTTTGTTTGAAATGCTTTTCATGACGTGCCGCCGAGTCTCTCAACCACCACATAGAAGCACTGATTAACTTGACTGGAATAGTGTTGAATATCCGGATGTTGTTCACACTTTATGCTGAGTGGAGTGGAGTAGAGTGAAGTGAAGTGGAGTGCAGTAGATCTCCACATTGGTTTCAGATTAATGCAGGAAGGTCTGTTTTGCTGTCTTTCCGACCCTGTTTGCTTTGACATGCTCATCTGTGCCTCAGTCGCCTGAGACGATGCTGCCTTGCCTAGGTAGGTGAAAGAGACTACTTTGTTTACATTTCTTTCATCGACGGTGATTGGTGCTTGTTGTTGTTAGTTGGTTATCTTCATCACCTCTGTCTTCTCTAAGTCCACCTGAAGGAACTCCCGTCTTTCTCGCTGCCTCGCCTCCCCCCTTCTGCCAATTTGTTGGCTTTTGCCTGTGGATCTACGACTTTGTGCGACAAGATATTAGACATGAATCATCATCGGCGGCGAAACCCAAATCTTCCAGGGTCTCTTCGTCGGTTCAGTATATGCATCATATTTCTACCACTAGACCAACTAAAAATCAGTTTCAGCTTGTCATCTTCAGTTGTCTTCCTGAGGTTCTATCGATTCATCCCTAAGTTTGTCAGTCCGTTCGCCTTAGATAGTTCCTGACTTATTTACTTACTTACTTACTTACTTACTTACTTACTTACTTACTCACTTACTTACTTACTTACTTACTTACTTACTTACTTACTTACTTACTTACTTACTTACTTACTCACTTACTTACTTACTTACTTACTTACTCACTCACTTACTTACTTACTTACTTACTCACTTACTTACTTACTTACTTACTCACTTACTTACTTACTTACTTACTTACTTACTTACTTACTTACTTACTCACTCACTTACTTACTTACTTACTTACTTACTCACTTACTTACTTACTTACTTACTTACTTACTTACTTACTTACTTACTTACTTACTTACTTACTTACTTACTTACTTACTTACTTACTTACTTACTTACTTACTTACTTACTTACTTACTTACTTACTTACTTACTTACTTACTTACTTACTTACTTACTTACTTACTTACTTACTTACTTACTTACTTACTTACTTACTTACTTACTTACTTACTTACTTACTTACTTACTTACTTACTTACTTACTTACTTACTTACTTACTCACTTACTTACTTACTTACTTACTTACTTACTTACTTACTTACTTACTTACTTACTCACTTACTTACTTACTTACTTACTTACTTACTTACTTACTTACTTACTTACTTACTTACTTACTTACTTACTTACTTACTTACTTACTTACTTACTTACTTACTTACTTACTCACTTACTTACTTACTTACTTACTTACTTACTTACTTACTTACTTACTTACTTACTTACTTACTTACTTACTTACTTACTTACTTACTTACTTACTTACTTACTTACTTACTTACTTACTTACTTACTTACTTACTTACTTACTTACTTACTTACTTACTTACTTACTTACTTACTTACTTACTTACTTACTTACTTACTTACTTA